CCCCCCCCCCCCGACCAATTATCTGATTGTTTTCTACTTGTCACTTCCTTTCCACAGTCCTTGCTGAACAAAAGTATGCCGGTTATCCAATGCTTGTCAAGACCATACGTACAGAAACGGAAGACGAGGAGCTGTTTGCTCGCGTTGCGGCCAGTGAGGACTTTTCGGTTCCTCAACCACAGCCCGATTCAACCAAAGCGAATGACACCAAGAATGATCAGCGCCAACGTGAGAGCGCTTCGAACGCAGTGCTCCTTGTGGCCGCTACGGAGCTTGCATACGAGACAGTGGCAACCAGTGCTCTGAATGCCGAAGAATTACGCCGCGAAGGTGGAATTCAAGCGTTACAGGTTTGTCTTCAGTTCGGATTTTTTCTTGCCCGCCTTCCCCCGTTTTTTCTACTTTGCAGCGTATCACATAGATCAGTCCCTCTCTTACCATTTCAGGAAGCGTTCACCCGATGTTCCGTTCTCCTCTCGGCTACGAGCAGTCGACCAAATGATGCTTGTGTTCGTGTGTGTGGCCACATTGTCTCGGTTCTTGCGGCCGCTTCCCAATTCCCTTCGTGCCGTCAGAATATTCAAGAGTTGCCCCAACTAGCTCGTCATGTTCTGCGGTTATTGTACTATCGGGTAAGTTCACAAACGTTGGGTTGTACCGTGCATACGTTCGGTCTTTTTCTTAGATCTGACATAGTTTGTGGTTGTAAGATTTCCCATTTCAAAGACGGTCTTCGTATCCTCGTGGTGCGTTAAGCTGAACAACGCTTTGGATTCACTGAAGCAGATATTGGTCATTTAAGTCAACTGTTCGATCGACTTATCCTCGAAAGAAAGAAAGGATAATCAATGCCGAATGCTCTTCAAGGCGCGGTAAGCGCTAGTACAGTCGAGACTCACACATGAGGCACAAAGTGTCCGTCATACTGGGTCAGGTGTGAAATCCGATAACACTCTACGCCATGTACTACGCACAAAAGTGTTGTAAATACGTAGAGAGCCCGAAATAACGAGTCACTGACTGTGACCTTAGAAAGTCCCAATCCAATAACAGCCTTGATGGATTGTGGAAAGCAGATCCCTCGATCCGTGAATCAAAAAGTTGGCATCACAACCGATTGCACTTAAGGCTGAAACGATGAAGGAATAATCATCAGCACCATTCTCATTCCACAGTCTGTCCGCGCCAGCTTGAGACTATGCTTATGTCTCTCACAGTTGCTCGGCTTTCCAGAACAGCGATTGGGCCAGAGTTGATGAAAGAGGTCGATACAGTTGCTCTCAACTCCCCGCAGACGGTGCATCCCAGGCAACAGGGATGTTTTGCAAGCTTTTTTGTAATCTGATTATGACGAGCACATCTAAAAGCGTGCATGATCCAGTAGGACTGCAGAATATGCACCAAGCTCTCCGGTTGGCCACAGTTTCCACGACAGAAGATCGTCTGGCCTCAATGGCCACGTTGGGCACTTCTGACTCTCTTCCTAAGCAGGTTGCTTGGGAGGTGGATACCGCGTTCAAGCCGTCGATTCAAAAGGAGCGCAGCGACCAAATTTCGTAAACCGCGACCATTAAGGGTTCCAGCGATCAGCAAGCATGTTATGAAAGCATCGGACAAGAATGGATGACACGGAGATCGGCCTCAGTTGGTCCGGTGAAGGATTCAGCAACTTCGAGACTAGCGTAATACGAACACGACACAGATGTGGCGGACAAACCCCAGATTAAGTTGAAATACCCAGCGAGCGCGTTGGTATTGGACTGGCGAAGCATCCTTGGCATGAGCTTTTCTAGACCTGTGGACGGATTGCCCATTGAACGGATCGTACGGGCGACTTCCTCCCCTGTAATAAGCTCGATCAAACTGCGTGACCTGGCCGGCTATCTGCGTGTTTGGAGCAGAGAGCACCTATTTCCAATACTGCTTTGCGTCCAGAGGTAGACTGCAGTTACCTTTGTAGAGATCCTCCCATGTCCCATCGGTCGCAGCAGACACTGCATCGTTCTATCTTTGGTGGTATTGGGTCTGGATGCGGGATAGTGGGCTCGGTGGATCTGCTTTCGGTTGGCCGGCACCCGATGGGCCAGCTGACAACGGTGTTGAGAGACAGGATTCCACGTATGATTTTTCCTTCCTCCTTCTCCTACTACTTGTATCGGTTGCGGCTAACCCCCAAGAGATTCCAGTCCTGAAGCGTCGTGGATTTCATTCGCGACAATCGGGAAGGCTGTGATGGGAGTGGAATTTAGGTGACTGTAGAATCCACATTCACATCGATTTCGTGTCCTAATTGGTCCACACCAAACGGGGAAGAACCAGACTTGAGTTTCGCCCTTATTAGAGCTCACCAGCAACCCTTGGCAGTGCCGGCGTTTGGGGTCCGAACATCTGATATGCCAGACTAGAGTGTTATCACTATTCTGCCGTATATGTTGGACGCACCCGAACAGTCGAATCTGGCAGACGGTGATTGGTTTGTCTGGAGGACAACTGATGTTCGCAGCTTTAGATAAACTTTACAACTCTAACCTGATGCGGTTTGGTGAAAACTGCAGAACAACTGACTGTTCCCACACTCACCTTTTTTCGACTTAAACTCTTTAATTAGTCACAGTGCTGTACATGCGGTTGGGTTGCTGAAAATCCGCCGACCTTATGAGTAGTACATTACGAAGATATGTATCGCGATATTTCAAATATCGTAGCGACTGCAACATGAGGCGGCCTGGTGCAGCACGTTCAGTTGCCTGAGAACATCATAAACGAGAGATTCAGCTGGGTTCCAGGTGAGTCTCCCGAAAAACCAAATTAGTTTGCAAATGAGTTAGTTACGGTGCTATTCAAGTTCTCATTGTTACCCATCATTTCTTTCATTCCATTTGTAGAATCTACCTCAGTTATGTTGCCTGTCAGCCTCGTGTTTGGCCGCATTTTGTATAGACTACTGGCTCTGTGTTACCTGTTATGAGCACGGTGCTCTGTACTTGCTCCTACGTCACGTGTTCGCCTACGACTTTACTTTGGAAGAGGCCGGTGTGAAGACCACAGAGACCAGCAATGACCAGGTTAGTTTGTTGCACTCTCTCTCTCTATTGATGTATATATTTCGTCTGATATGGTCAATTATCCTTTCAATTCGTGACTGGCTCATTGTTCGGTGATGAAGTCCTCTGACTACAAAGACAGTCAGTCAATCTTTTCGAACTCTCAACATGTCATCATTTGGACGGATGTGTCACGTGCAGGACACGGACCAAACGAAGCCATGCCCTAATTGGTCAGAATGTCAACCAATCCGGATCGAGCATCTTTGACTCGACGCTCCTCGCCCCCCTCACGGAGATTCTGGCACGACCTTGTGAAACATTTTGTGATTACCCTACGAATACAGTTGTAATAACCCCCCTTGGTCTCCATAAAGGGCTGTCTGGAGCTACAGTGCCTTTTGATATACCATAGTGGGTGGAGCAGGAAGCCAAGGGACCGACACAGAGTTGTACTACCGTTCAGCAAGACACAACACGACAGGATTGTGTGAAGTAAGGAGGACCAGTATGGCTTTCAGTTAACCGTCTTAAAAGTCACGCTTGACGTCCTCCGTGTGACTTTTGCTACGAAGCAGACAAGCCGAGGATCGCACGAGCTTGGTCACATCCTCCAGATAGCTGCCTGATTCTCAGAGCCATTTTCGTTCAACCAAGAACAGGGGAAGAGATCATGTCCTGACTTGACTGCAACCTCAGTGGCACTGTCCTACGTGGATGCAGGTCCCAAGACGTGTCACATCGAGATGTTAGGTCGACTGACGTTCATGACCCAGTTCCACACCTAATGGCATTCTTGTATTCAAGTTGCCACCTCCAATGCCTGGTTGACTCCCGCACCGACGGGTCATGCTGGATATATAAGTCATCGTAATAAGCTGCTGTCTTTGCATGTCGACCCGCTATTCACTGGAGAACAGAAACTCTGAAAGCGAGAATCACTAAGAGTTACACACGATTTCTAGTCTGATTAGGCTCATCTGTTGGAGAGGTTTAGCGCGCAAACTGCTGCCTTTGGCCCCAGGTGATAGTTGGATAACCGCTTCTTGGATACCTGACGCGCCAAATGGTTCGAATTACTATATCTCCTCGTGATTGAGGAAACTACTTTTCCCCATGAGTAGTATTTTCACGTGTTCCTTGGGTTTTAGCCCTTGTTCTCTTTACGCAGTTCTCCGGTTTCTCTTATTCCTAAATCATTTTACTTGAATTGAGCGCACTCGGCGTATCCCATAGAGTTTTATCCTCTGAGCCTCCCTTTCGGTACCTCTGCTTACCTTCCATGTAGTTGACAGCCACAGTTTCTGAATCGCCGTTTTATCCCAAGTTCTCTATTTGAATACGACCGGTTGTATGATGAGCATTATCGTTGACAATTTAGATATCTGTGTGTATTCTGTTTTGTGGTTTCACCGTCTCCCTTAATAGTACTGATCAACTTTTCTTGATGTCCCCGTGTGTCATTTCTACCGCGCCTAGGTGGTCACAAATCGGCTCGCGCTGCTCAGTCTCTGGGCCATCGGACGCCTGCTGAATGGCTACCAGTCCAGTCACGAAGTTACCGAGGAGAGCTATATGCTACGTGAGGGCCCCCAAGTACACGAGGCGTTGTCTCGTCTTCTGACGCCCCATTTCACTCGAAAAATTGCTGATCTATCTACCTTTGACCCCGGTGTTGCCGGGCATCAAAAGTCCGACGAAAAGTCGGTCCCCGACCCGCCAGTGCTAAACGATTTTCCATTGGACACAGCGCGGGGCAGGTATATTCGTTCGTTGGCCAAACTGCTGACCACCAATTCCGTGACCCCTTATTTGATTTGGGACAATCGCTGTCGTGCCGAGTTGGAGGTCATGTTGGATGCGCATATCCAGCAGTTGATTCGAACGGTACGTTGTTGTTTCTTTGACAATCTCTCCCTCTCCCTGTGTCTCATGCAGATTGCTGTGGTCGATAGCAACATTCTGGCAAACACTTCAAGTTTGAAGTCACGTTTATCAGCCGTTGATCACCAATGTCTTGTTAGCCATTTGCTTAACTTGTAATTGCCACTTCGGGTCTGTCATTTGAGGGAATACTTCTCATTGAACACATTCGAAACTTGTGAAATGCCTCCGTTAAGGTTAACAGTACGACTTGTTATCCAGGATGGGATCCTCGTGGTTCTCACTGAGCCTTGTTGGGGACGCTGCAAGATAGGTCGACTAATCCATCTCCAGAATGAGCGTCTGGAGATGAAGGCACTTCAGAATGACTGTAGTAAGCTAGCACCAAGTCCCTTCCTCTTCCATCTATATTTTTTTCTTCAAAGTAATGCATCGATGTTGAACAATGGTGTTATAACGTCGATAAGACAATACTCCCGGTGCAACTCATATCATAGAGGAGACCGGTCCTCTTTGGAGTCGCTGGCTGCTCATTTATAATTCCGACTTGGGGCTTTGCCAGCCTTAGTCGAGTTTCCTCGGATCCCCATCAAGTTAGCCCGGCAACTCCCAAAGTGATTAGGAGTTTAATCGATGACACCACGGAAATCTTAATGTGCTCATACCATGACAGGTCAGCACATCCGAAGAACGGCGCAACCTTGCTAAATTTGTTTGGGTATGTCATTCTGGGGTGATCGGTCTTTTCGTACATTCAGAGTTGCAATAATACCTTCTTCTCAAGAAATACACTCACATGTGAATCAATTCGGTTTTCACGAGAGGCTCAACTGAATCTCTCGTTTATTATGTCCTCCAGCTGGATGTGCTGCACACAGGCCGCCTCATGATTCGGTTGGCACGATATTCGAGATATCGCAGTATATTTTCATAAAGGAAACTACTCACAAGGTTGCTGAAAACTCTTCGACAGCCCACGACCGGTTTCGCCCTTCTTGGGGCTCATCAGGTAGGCGCTGTCCTCGAGTTTCCGTCAACCTTAAGGCGAAACCGGTCGTGGACTGTCGACGAATTTTCAGCGACCTTATGAGTAGCGGATTACAAATATATATGTATCGTGATATATCAAATATCGTAGCGACTGAAACATGAGGCGGCCTGGTGCAGCACATTCAGTTGCCTGAGAACATCATAAACGAGAGATTCAGCTGGGTTCCAGGTGAGTCTCTCGCAAAGCCAGATTAGTTTGCAAATGAGTTTACTTCGCCAGGTTCAGTAACTTCTTAATCTACCTTCCACCAGATGCAGGGACAACGTCTTAAAGTATTTTGATCAGATATTACTCGCACGTTTCACCAGCAGTACATGTTTTTACACTGGTATCTGGCTCTCGTTACTCAAAATTAAATCTTTCTCATATATATGCTGATCGAATCATCGTTGAACAAAACTGTGGCAGCTACAACCACCGTACGACAAGTACGCGGTTACTACAGCTGACAATGATGATGATGATGATGATGATGACGATGATGATGATGATGATGATGACGATGATGATGATGATGATGATGACGATGATGATGATGATGATGATGACGATGATGATGATGATGATGATGACGATGATGATGATGATGATGATGACGATGATGATGATGATGATGATGATATACTGATCGGACCATGCATTTCTTTCTGACCATACAGGGCGAGTGCGATCTGGATGCACCGACTCGTTTCATTCACAGCACCTACGCTCACGAACTCCTTGTCGGTGAAGTGTTTGTCCGACTGTACAACAAACAACCCACTTACCAACTCGAAGTGAGTCCGCCAGCCATGCTTTGTTTGTTCATCCGGCTACAAACAACCGATACCTCACCCGTGCCTTTTTTTAAATACTTTCTAGAATCCTAAAGGCTTTGCCATCGACCTGTTACGGTTCATCGCTGAAGAAGTCCCTAACCTAACCCCGAAACGGGCGGTAAAAGCTGACTTCCCCACGGAGGAGACCACACAGGGAGCGCGTGAGACCAAAACAAATTCTGATTCCTCTGTTTCGCTGGTCGACTTGGATGACATTGACTGGGCCGCAGAAGAGACGAACATGTCCGATTTGTGTGTGGCGCGTCTGAGTGCAGCATTGGAGGCGTTGAGTAATGTAATTCATCACAACTCAGGCGAGTTCCCGTATTCCGTTCTGATGCCCCTGTTTTTAACACAATCTTTATTGTTTTGCAGAGGACACTTCACAATGTTCTGGGGCGAGATAGCCCAAGTGGTTAGAACGCGAATGTGCTGACCGGAAGGTCCGTGGTTCAAACCCGACCTCTGCCACTCGACTTCCCCTTTCTAGGCTTAGGCGACCTGGCAGTATCCCAGCCCTCGTGCTTCCTCCGGGTGGCATGGCAGCTAGGCACCGGAAGGGTGTTTTTTATTATTTTTTTATTCGATCACAATGTTCTATCATTGACGTGAGACTCTGGATGGACACGCCGAGAGTATTGTTCCATTTTATTTACTGTGAAGGGAGACTGATGTAGTTCCCTCACTGTAGTACACCATCTACGACTAACTGGTGCCTTCCGGGCAGTTGGACATCAGTGTTTTCGGATTTCACTACCCATGTAACATCTCGATTTCCGATCTTGATCCTTCACTGAGGGGAAAACGGTACTGTAATGCGTACCAACCTCGCAACAGTTTTCGGCATTTGTGAGACTCTGGTGTAGGTTAACAACTTTAATGGTTCTTGTTAGCCCATGGGTCATAACTTTGGGGTTAAGTTATCCACGAAAAGTTGGCCAGCTCATCAACTATGCAATGCGGAACCACATTGCCTGGAAGCCTCAAAACCGAGAGATTCACCTAGGTTCCAGGTGAGTCTCTCACAAAACCAAATTAGTTTGCAAATTAGTGTATTTCGCACAATTTGGTTTCAAGTAGAACATAAAGTTGACTGCGTCTACCTGATGAGCCCCAAGAAGGGCGAAACCGGTCGTGGGCTGTCGACGAATTTTCAGCAACCTTATGAGTAACGCATTACAAATACACATTGTGTGATGTTTTTTTACTGATCTGGTTTGGGCGATACCAACTGCGAAAGCCGAACTATCATAACCGTCTGGTTCCGCGTGTGTTGATACAGAGTCTTATGCCGGACAGTTGACTACTCTATAACTTGTATTCACGGGATCTACAGAACCGATCCATTTTCAGCATCGGGTTTCGCTCCGATTTTCAGTTCCTCTCTTGTTTTTTCACCTGCTACACGTCGGATAACAATGGTCCCAGGGAACATTGTCACCCATGTATGAACAGAGGTGACAACGGATGCCTCAGCTTTGTGCGCTTTCTGTTCGAAGTTCCCACATAATCTAACTTTCCAGTGTCGTCTCCCCTTCTGGTCGAACCACACGTGATAACTCTTTGTTTTTCATCCTTTACTCAGGTGTCGAAATTCAGTGCATTGGACATTTCCCCCTGCTTTTCTCTGTGATGGGTTTGCATGGATACCCGGAGTTGCAAACACGTTCCATCGAGGTAAGTCTGCAGATTTCCCCTGTTACCTGTTGTCCATCTTCTGACCTCCACTTTGGTGATGCAGGATATCCCTCTGATTCTACAGGGTCACATGAGCAGTCCGTCGGTGATTTGATCCTTGGTAGTACTTGAATTCTTGCTGTAACTCGTCGCTGCACACAGCGACCTTCAAGGAGCACTCCACTTCAAGAAGCAGTCCACGACGACGTCGCTGGTGAGGTTAGTCTAGTGTGTGTCATCCAGAATTGGCTAATGTCAGCAGAACCTCAGAAATGTCTTGCGAACTCCGTCATATTAAAGAGGTGGCCGTAATATTCTGGGCTGAATAGCCCTGCATTTGTGGACGCCGGTCAGCCAGTTTGGCTGGTGTGAACGAAGGTTATTTGGTTCCAATTGCGACAGTTTTGATCCGGAGGATACAGGGAAAGACAGATGAATCGCTACTTGTTGAATAGAATGGCTTGAGCTTGTTGACCTATATTATCTCCACTTTCCCTTTAATTAGAAATTTGGATGAATGGACACTGAAGTTGACAGCTTCACTGAACGAGGGCTGTTGGCTGCGTGATTCGACCACCGTGCTTCCTCCGGGGGGCATATCTGCTGATTCGCCGATCTGTGGTATCTACTGCCGACCCGCTCTAGTGCCTGATGCCGGAGAAAAAGACTCAGAGAAGGAACCACAACAGCTATATTCCGAAAAAGCGAGTGCGAAAAGCACAACGGTCTCAAGCTACTTATTAAAGGACACTGTCTGAACTTAGTCCAATGCTGACGCACACGGTCTGGCTTTGGTACGAGGCTGTGACATGCTGCATATTGCGGGAGCGTTGTCTGACCTTGATCAACGCTGACTCGCGCTGTCTGGGTTCGATACAAGGCTGTGGTGTGCTGCGTGTTGTCTGTCTGGTCAACATCTAGCGGAGCTGAGAGTCTCGGTAGATTTCGGGCATTCAGTGATTGCTTTCAGGAAGCTGACCTTCCTGTTACAGCTATTCTTGGTGTACCTTCTCCGCGGGGTGTTCGTCCAAAAAGGCGGAGATTGCAGACACGACAGGGACTTTCTAGTTTTCTCACTAATCCATAGGTTAGATCAGGTGGACAACAGCGACTGCAGGATGGTATCACCAAACTGTTCCACAGAAAGAGAGATCGCCAACTTAACGACTTGGTTGCGAGCATCTGTTCCAGTGCACCGACAAAACGTTTCCACATTCCGATACACCGCTCAAGTGGGTTCTACTTCTGGTGATGACCAAGTACGTTTTGGTCTGACCTGTTTTAGGCTGTTGACTAGAGTGGTGTGTGACCACACTATACCATCGATAAACCTCGTGAACTACTTCACCGTACAGGGAACATACTCTTGCCGTCCGTGCCTGTAAGTCATGGCATAGAAGGCCGCATTTTAGTTCTAGTTGAGCTCAGCATTTTCGCAGTAACCTGGGTTCGAATCCAACCAATCTTGTGTTATATTGCCCTTCATTTACCTTGTCTTTCACATCTTGCCTTTAAAATACCACAGGTCATTCAAGCTGTGTCAACCAACAACGAGTGCTTGAACGATATGGCCGCGTCCCACCTACTCGTCTCCATGGTTATGCTGTTTCCCAGTCTGCCTCAGTGTAAGTGATCTCCAGTCGAGTGTTTTGTACCGTTTGTTTTCATTAGCTCCCGTCACTCCGCAACATATTGGAAACACCACGTATGGTGGGCGTTTCTGTGGTGTCTCTCTGTGTGCATATCGACAAGGAGCTTTGTTATCCTGGATACGTACTCTTGTCTTCGATGTTCAATGGAAACCCTAAGGATGAACTGAGGTAGCTCAAAATAACATCACCGGGGTCATAAGGACACCACTGTCCTCGTTCTTGCTTTTTTAATCGAGAACCTCTTGTGTCGTTTGCTCGGGCCGCGTTTGCTAACTTGAGACACCTATGGGCGTCAGAATGGTTTATCTCTGAATCTGAAGGGACGTGTGTATCAAGCTACAGTACGGGCTGTTTTGTTGTATGGCTGTGAGACTTGGCCTATTCGGGCAGCGGAACTGAGACGTCTTCAGGTGTTCGACAATCGTTGTCTCAGAACCATAGCTCGCATGGGTTGGTGTCGGCGAATCCGTAATGAGGCAGTTAGAAAGCGCGTTTTCGGTTGTGTAACGGGTACTTCCATTGAAGAATGTGTCCAGCATCAGAAGCTGCGTTGGTTGGGACATGTGTTACGTATGCGGAACCATCGTTTGTCGAAGAGAGTGCTGTTTTCCATGCCCAATTCAGAGTGGCTTAAACAGAGAGGTGGCCAACCCTTGACTTGGCAGAGGAGTATGAAGGAGATCACGAAACGCTTGGGTGCTGTCGGTGCTACTCGCCTTCCAGGATGGGGACCACGTGATCCTCACTGTGCCTGGTTGGAGACACTACAAGATATGGCTGCCAACCGATCTCAGTGGTGTTCTTGTTGTTAGTTTCTATCCAGATTGCCTGAGTGGATGTCTGGAGGTATATGCACCTCGGAATGATGTGGTAAGCTAGCACTAAATCACTTCCCCGTCCACCTTCATTCTTTTCTTTACAATAAGGCTTTCAAATAAGTCATGGTCGTACGGCAGTGAAGCATCGGTGTTGAACACTGATGTCACGCTGTCGATGATGATGATGACGTTTGCTTTTACTTGGGAACTTAGCCTTGCCGTATGGTCATCGTCATCATCATCATCAAAGACGGCAACATCAGTGTTGACTGCAGTATGCCTGGTCTCTTCACTCTTTCGGTCGTTTCTGATCGAACCAGTTAGCAGGCAGAATCACTGCACGGGTGCTTCGTATTATCTCAGGCCTGGATAGTTCAGGGTTTGAAGGTCCTTGGTTCGAACGCAGTCCTCAATTCTCGATGGTTCCTGTCTAAATAATCGTTCAGCCATAAAATTCCGTCGCTGCCTAACTGCCATGCCATACCATCTGGTTGCCAAAGGCTAGAAAGGAGCAGTCGAGATAGCCGGTTCGGGTTCGTACCATGGTCAACACGTTCTCACCTTGAACAGTGATCTATCTCAAGCCCTGTCTAAACTTAAACAGCCTGGATTTATCTCAGCTCAAGTGCTTCCTTCGAGTTTGCATATCGGCGTTGCATTGACGAAACCCTATAGTTAAATTAAGATTTTTTCTTCCAGGATACATTGTCAGCATTCATTAGATCTGGGTTTTCACGACAAACAGCACTTATTTTAGCCTTTGCGACGGGTTGAAAAGCGTTTTCCACACATTCGACTTCCGTTATTGGATATTTCGCACCCAAAGTGCCTCACTGCCAACCGGTTTGTTTGCCATGCACTCGGTCAGTGGGTGAGATAATAAACCGCAAAGAAAACAAATTATCTATTTTGAGATAGCTAGAGAACTTTTTCGCTCAAGTCGAACGGCCACCCAATTTTCACTGGTGGGCTTCAGGATTTGTTTTGTCTGTTTTTCGCCCACTATATTTCGGTCTCTTCTCGTAACTCGGTTCCATTCGCTGTTCCGTCTTTTCTGTAATGTGTTGCTTGTTATAGGATATTTCCTTGCTCCTCACTTGACGTGTCACCCGAAGATTTCACTACTTATCAGGAAGGTCAGATTCCTGAAATCAACTTCTGAACGCCCGGAACCTACTGCTCCACCAAAAGCTCAACTGGAAAGCCGGCAAGCATCCAGGCCAGTCAATCATTCGATCAATTCAGTAAAACCTGATGAGTGTTCTCTGCGCCACAGAAGCACGACCGAATGTGATCAGCGTTCAGGCTTTTCACAGAGGCACGATCGATGTTGATGGGTGATCACTAACGCCTATCAGACAGCCTGGATCAATGTCAGAAAGTCCCCTTTAAATAGCGTGGGGCCGTTGTAACTTTTGCACTCGCATTCGTTCTCGCTCTCTCACTCACTCGCTTGTTCGGAATATAGCTGTTGTGTTCCCTTCTGTGAGTCTTTTCTCTCCGACACTAGGCACTGGAGCGGGTCAGCAGCAGATACCTCAGACTGACGAATCAGCAGACATAACACTACTCAGGAATAATTCGTTTGCGTACGCCCACTTTACGATCTTCCCAAAACGTCTCATAAATGTCTAGCAATGGAGATATTTTGTTGTGGTACGTCCCGTTCAACGTAGCTCAATCGGTCATCTGGTTCGTTTGAACTGTGCTCTGATACACCTGCCTTATTAGGTTACCGCACTCCTTCAATGGTGTATACCACGGTTACTTGTCATCCTCCCGTAACAAAATGTTGGACTTTTTGATACCTCGAGAGTTCTTTATCCTCATCCCTTAGGTAGTTCGGGTCACCGCCTTAGGAAGTCTTTTGGAAGGCGTAGCGATGTGTCAGAACATTGTAAATTGTCATCTTTGATGATTGTGGCAATTTTCCGCATATTTTTTATCGTCAACCCACTCAAGCGTATGTTAGTTTCCGTCACCTGTCATGTGCGCTGGTTTGTTTGGCGGCGGTTAATGTCTGTGTTCTATTGTTCAGTCGTATGTTAGTTTCCGTCACCTGTCATGTGCGCTGGTTTGTTTGGCGGCGGTCAATGTCTGTATTCTGATTGTTCAGTTAATTGTCTCGCCTTTCATCTTATTGGTCGATTTAGGTAGGTCGCCAGACTACTCGATTGGTTGTTTTCGAAGTCTCCATACGACACTTGATTGGGCCCTGCAAAGAGACTTCACTGACCAGCCGTTCCCAGCAAAAGACTCTTACTGCGCACCGGACATATTTCAGCTTCCGCGTCTGCACCATACGCACTTTTTGTTTAGTTTTGCTAACGAGAACATCTATACACTCCGTTTACCTTCGACTTCCGTGTAATGTTCTCTACCACCTTCTCAGGTCACCACCTGCTTGTGGAAACATTTGACCACTTGGTTATGTGCACCGCTCTGCTCAAAGAGCTGGTCTACTGTGGTGGATTGGTTTATCTGCTGGAAATTCTGGTCCGATCTCCAATACGTCGTGTACGCGAGGCTGTGGCGAATCTACTCTCACGTTGTCTGGTCGACAAACAGGTGGGCAGACGAATTCAAGCCCTACTCGGTCAATACTTGCCGCCGATTTTTCCCGAGACCCTGCGTGACTCCCCTGATTCGTTCCTTCATCTATTTGACTGTGAGTTCCCCATTCTACATTCTTTCGAGCCTCCATAAAGCAGCTGGCCTCCAGCAACGCTCAATAATTCATCAATTGGAACGTTGCTAGACTATTATGTGCCTTTCCGGAATGTGGCTTCTTTTCGATGAGGGGGAGAACAATCACCAGCTGGGGATGATGAGGAACACCCTCGTAAGCTTATCCGAATGACTAGATGTTGCTCAGTTAAGGCGGAAGGTCTGTGATTCGAACTCTACCTCTTCACCCGGATTACTCCTTTCTAGGGGGTGCTCTTTCGGGTNTTCGAACTCTACCTCTTCACCCAGATTACTCCTTTCTAGGTGGTGCTTCTTTCGGGTGGCTCGTCTCCGAAAGAGTGTTACAGCTGAACGACGTTCTATGCAACTCGCATCAACTCGCAACCCGTCTGTCTGTCCGTTTCGACTAGCTTTGGATAACACAAACAGTACCTTATTGATGAACCAACCGTATTGACGCTACTCATTCTTGGTTGTGGGTCCGTCTGGTTGCTTCATGTTTTGCAATGTCTTTTCTTCCTCATGTTCTCCTTGTTTTACCTCCTTCCTGAGAGGACTGGCTAAACTGTCGAATCAAGGCGCCATTGGCGAATGAGCCTCACCCGACAGTAGTCAAGCGCACAGCGACAGGCGAATTTAGCTAAACAGTCTGGCCAGAAAATGATAGCACGCACACCACTGTGTGCTATGTCCTACAGGTCTCTAACCACGTGCATGCACGATCGCGTGGACCCCAGCCAGTAATCCGCAAAGATCCCACTGCAGTCAGTTTGACTGTGACCGCATTCATTTCACGTTGCCGTGTCATGGCTTTGCTCGAAGCACACGCACCCAACTGTTCCATTTGATTTGTGATGTCGCGTTGGTGGTCAGTTTGTTGACTATCTGATTACCATAACTAACCGCATGTGAACAGTGCTTACAGCCACTGAGCTAGATATGGAGGCTTAGCTTCAATAACCTTTTCGTTTTCCTTCACTTCCTTCTCGTTCAAGCGGATCACGAAAACCCCGAACTGATCTGGAATGTCGATTTTCGTGACAAATTGTCCGAGGAACTGAGCACCCAGGCGACTGAGTGAGTTAGTTCTTCACTGGTTAAACATTGCTTTCTAATTCATTGGGAAACCCGAATTTACTGCAAATTTCGAGCGTCTTCTATACGGATGTTTAGTCACTCAGTTGTATTGATTCTAAGTCAGTTGTGTGTTCACTTGAATTTCTTAACCCTTCAGCTCAGCTGCCATGTTTGAGGTGCGGATGTGCCATTTTTCCTGGTTGATTTGTTGCCTCGGCTGATGAGTGGTATACAAAGTGAACTGCCGACGAATTTTCAGCAACCTTATGAGTAGTGCATCACAAATATGAATGTATCGCGATATCTCGAATATCGTAGCGAGTGAAACATGAGGCGGCCTGGTGCAGCACATTCAGTTGCCGGGACACATCGCAAACAAGAGATTCCGCTGGGTTCCAGATGAGTCTCACAGAATCAAATTAGTTCGCTAATTTCGTGCAATTTGGTTTCAAGTGGAACACCTGGTTGACGGAAATATCGGAGAAGCGCCTACCCGATGAGTCTAAAAAGACCGAAACCAGTCGTGGACTGTCGCAGCAACCTTATGAGTAGTACATCACAGGGATACATTGGTGATATCGATCAGTTTATGTTTGAACATGAAAACTAGGGACCCCAATCGGTCAGTCTCAATCAATAGGTTCTGTTTAGGAGACTCGCATGATCACACTTTCGGTCGACACCGGTTTACCAGCCGGTGTACAGGTCAAAGATGAGCAGATCACTGTTCGGAAGCTCTGACGTTTTGTCCTGACAAACTGTTTACTCACGACTGACTGACTGTTGATTAGTGGTCAGATTGTTTGTCTAACTGGTCAATTATCTTCACTAGGGGTTTGGCAATTATCAAACAGTGCGTTCAGATATCAACTGAGCGTTTGTAGTGCGGCGGGCCTAGTTTGTTTGCGAATAGCTTGGTCGTGACGCACTATGTAGCCAGTCCCATCTTCACCACCTGGTGAGTCTGAAAATATGTGTAAGGGTTCGCGCCACTGTGCTCCAACCGCACTTTCCCGTGAGTTTTTTCCCCAGGAACTATGAGTCCAACCGATCTCCTTCGTGTCTCATACATTCTTCATCTCTCAGATTCTATTCGGCTCAGCTACAAAACCCGCAGATTCGCTGGTCCATACCAGACTCGTTCGCGGTCTCCTATGCGGATGTGTTTATGAAAGCCGCGTCGGAACGTAGACGAAACAATGTGCAATCAAGCGAGGAGGAGGAATTGATGGCCTCTCTGGGTCCGGTGATCATCGCTGGGGTCTACGTACACTTGTATGTGGCTAGCCCAGGTTGGGTATTGCGACGACCCGAGCTATTTTTGGACTCTGTCATGGATACTTGGATAGAGGTATGTTCTCGATTGTGCAGACATCCTATTCCACGACCATTCAGAATTCTCCAGTTTATTGTGTCATACTCATGTCACTGCGTTTCTGGTCGCTTCTGATCACTGCTCAGTGTTGTGCTGGCTACTCTCATACGAATCGTACCGAATACATGATTGCAAATTGTCTCTAAATGGGGATGCGTTTATCCTCAGCTACTCAGTTTGTTCCTACCTCCTCTTTATGGTGTGACTAAATAGTTTCGATCCGATACATCACATAGTGCTCACATCTGGCGTGGACTTCTTGATTCGAAGGTAGATGATACATTGAAATCGCGAAATTTTTCAGAATGTGCTGTACACTGTATGCATCAACTCCATCATTCTTCCAGTAGCAGAATCAGGCAAACTTTTCAGCCACATTCCTCTCTTCGCGGATGGTGACCAAATTGGTATTTCACTCCGGTTGTCAGCTTCTCATGATCTGTGTTTTCTTTCATTTTCTGTACGGTGTTTTTATCATTCCTGTCAGCCGTTAGGCTCCTCTGCCCGCATGTTGTCTGAGGTCAAATAAATCCTGTAAACCAATGACCATTTACAGGCAATTAGTTAATCGATATATATATATATATATATATATATATATATATATATATATATATATATCATGTCTCA